CCCCAAAACCCCAAAACCCCAAAACCCCAAAACCCCAATTATTAAGTTTATAGTTGAAATAATCATGTTAGTATGCAGGGCCTTTTCCCATTCCTCCATCTTTATACGATCCATGGTTAATTTTCCTTCCTTTTGAGAGATCTGCTAACATTTCTGAGCTGCTTGCTCCCTTCTCTTTCTGCTTTGAATTTCCAGAGTTCCATTGGAATGTAGCATGATCGGTAGTAGAAGTTGTTGCTTGATAGGTTATATCTGATCCAGTTTCCATCTTTGCATTACGACTGTTTATACTATAAATGTTAGACTATTAATTACTTGCTAATTATAGTCTCCCCACTACTTGATGGGAACAAAGAGTTTGACGAGCTGCCTCCTCTAATCGAGTGCTTGAACGACATGAATCCATCGGTTCGTTTCATTTTGGAGATGATTGCGTCTAATTGCAATTTATTTAGATTTTTAAAATCATCTTTATTATGGGATACTTTCTTGCCTCTTGATTTTCTCTTTCTTTCCTTGGAAACCACAATAGGTTCTAGATAAGTGGGCTTGCTGCTTTTATCGTTGATTTCCTTCTCCTCCTGGATACAGTAGAGCTCAATGTTCTTGTTTTGGAAAAGTTCCTTTTTATCATTCGTATTCTTATTATTTTATTTTTATTGACTCGATGCTTCTGTTCAGTTCACTCAAGATTAAATGGCTGTTTACGCCTCCTTTCTTGTAACTGGTCTTTCTTGCTGGTTCATTAGAATGCTTTCGCATGAAGTTGATCGACTTGTTCACCTTCAAGTTTGGGTCCAGAGAGGTTGAGTCTCTCAGAGACCTTTTTCTTGACAAGAGGAATGATCTGCTACAGAATGTTATGAATGAAATTTCTAGACGTACTTATTAGAGTTTGCCTTTGGAATGACCTTTTCTATCTTATGAGTGTGCACTTTTTGCTTAGTGCTAGGTGGGTCACACTCTCCAATGTCTCCACGGAAGGACTCTGAGTCTAACTGGACATCTCTGAGGTTGTTGACTCTCTTGTTGAGTCTGACTTGCCTTGAAACTGGTCTTCTTGGCTTAGATCGAGTCACTGGTCTTTCAAAATAGGATCCGTCTGACTCGAGATCTTTGTACGTATCTTGCCTCTCTGTATAAATTTGTTAGTTTAATAGTAATTTAGGATCAGAAAAGCAATTTCCTCGACTGAAGATACAGACTAATCCTCTTTCAACCTATTTAATGGGATGGATATGGACTCTTAATCTGATATCTAAGGGGATAATTTATGAATGGAAATAAAATAACTCTTCGGAGGAGAAATCTACACCAATGTATGATGGGTCTTGAATAGTAACAGACATCATTATTCTGATGACAACCTCTATAGTTTATCGATAGAGGCTAATATCAGGGTCCTAGGAATGTTTTTCACTTTATGCTTAAGTTCGAGTAACAGATTGTATGAAATTGTAAATAAAATTAAAGTCTGAATTACCAACAAAACTGAAGTCTAGCCCTCTGAATTCTCCTCCTCTGGTTCATGGCCTCTCAAGCTTGTGGTGGGACCTCTGGTCGTTTCCAATTTTGTCAGTGATCCAGTGGAAGTTCTTCAGGTTCCTGTACTCCATGTTCCCTTCGGCTGCCGGAAGGCCACTCGGCTTTCAGTTGGGGAGACCTGCCCGCAAGCCATCTGTCAGGATGGGGCTGTCGCTTATGTTTTTAGGAAACTTAATTAGCTCTGGGCTATTACTTTCATAAACCGACGAGATGAAGGTGTTATTTATTATATTTCGGAGGTACTTTCGAGAACCCAGAGATCTGCTTTAAGACTCTTGATTTCGCCCCCTCTTGAAAGGAGTTTTCATTGTTGTTTCCACTGCTGAAAATGATTAATTAGTTACAAATTCTGAAAGTTAGTTTAATAATAATTGGATTCGAGGCTACATCCAATCTCTGGAATTAGAGTTAGATAAGAATGGATAGATTTCTTACTCCTGGCTATCAATTTTACTGTAGAACTGGTGGTATTGAGAAAGTTTAGTATTTTTGAAGTTCTTAAAGCCAACCCCATATTGAGTGTTGTAAGAGAACATAAAGTTTCGTCCACCACTTTCCCTTCCTAAATAATTGACATTAGAGATAATGATGATAATGGAGAGAGGTAAGACTACTTACTGTTACTCGTGTCATCAAAATTATTATACTCGATATAGCCTTCGTCCTTGTTCTTAAAGATTTTAAGTTTGTCCGTGAGCCTTTCGAATTCGTTCCTCTATTGGATATGTTAGAGAGAGTATAGTTGAGAAATGAGAGGATTGTGGCTGAAAATAAGCCTACTTGTTTCCTGTTGTTTGAGTCTTTCATATACAATTATATTTAAAATTCAATATAATTACTAATCGTGGGGTTTTGGGGTTTTGGGGTTTTGGGGTTTTGGGGTTTTGGGGTTTTGGGG